CTATTTTTCCAGTCTGATGAGTCGCTGCTACGTTTTGGTGCGGACCAGGACACCGACTGCAGGCACTCATTTCAGCTAAAGAGCTCCTCTCTGTCTGTTTCAGGTTAGTGGACATCATTCAGTAAACTGTCCCGTCGGGAAATATGTCTCTACGTCACACAGTGGAGTCTCTCTGATTGGTTGATGCTGGAAATATGTCTCTACGTCACACAGTGGAGTCTCTCTGATTGGTTGACGCGGCGCGACGAGCTGCAAAAGTTCAGATTTTCTAACTTCAACGATTTGCGCCTCAGTGCATCGAACGCTCAGATCGTTCAAATCGCGCTGCTCTAATCGCGCTTGAGGCGCCGCAGAACTTCCCGACGTTGCTTGAAGCACGTCCACCATAGACTTTGTATGTAAAACTGATGCTGAAATCGCATTTGGTGTGAACGCACCATTAGCCTCTGCAAGCAAAAWGTTTGATGTAGATGGAGAATGTGATCAGTGACTTACAGAAAAAGTTTACTGTACACACACAGAGCAGTATAGAGAGGCTGACACATCCCAGRTTTGATGCAACACTCCTCTTTCTCTCTGCAGCATGGCCGGTTTTGGAGAAGTGGACTCGTCGGTGAGCACCCCAGCTCCCTCCAAGCTGAAAGAGGAAGTGGACGAGGACCCCTGCAGCTCCGCCCCCGCCACCCCGGAGTGTGCCATCTGCCTGCAGAGCTGCGTGCACCCCGTCTGTCTCCCCTGCTCCCACGTCTTCTGCTTCCTGTGTGTGAAAGGTGCCTCCTGGCACAGCAAGCGCTGCGCTCTCTGCCGACAGGAAATCCCAGAGGACTTCTTGGAGCGTCCGGTTCTGCTCTCTCCCGAAGAGCTCAAAGCGGCGGCCGCAGGGCTGAGTCGGAGCAGCTGCGGGTCCCGCGGGGAGCACGCGTGGTACTACGAAGGGCGCAACGGCTGGTGGCAGTATGACGAGAGGACCAGCCGAGAGCTGGAGGAGGCCTTTGTGAAGGGCAGGAAGAGCACAGAAATGCTGATCGCAGGCTTTCTGTATGTGGCAGATCTGGAAAGCATGGTGCAGTACCGCCGGAACGAACACGGCCGCAGACGCAAGATGAAGAGGGACGTTGTAGATATTCCTAAAAAGGGCGTGGCAGGGTTGAGGTTGGAGCCTGAACCCGTTCCCATTCCTGCTGCATCAGCTGCTGCTTCAGCATCAACAGAGCGCGTGAGCTCAGCTGACGGCTCCGACTCTGCAGGCCGGTCCCAGTCGTCGTCCTTCGGGATCATGGTCCCCCTGCCCCCAGTCAGACCTCAAACACTCCTGGGTCGCCATCCTAACAGCCCTCTTTCCCCTTCAGCWCTGGAACAGACTCTTTCTCAGCTCCTAATCAGCCAGCCCGAGGAGGATGAGGAGGTCGAGGACGAGCTGCAGGTGTACGAGTTTGCGTCTGGAAGCAGTGAGAGTGAAGAAGAGGAGGAGTGTGACGAAAGGCGAGAAGAATCAGCAGCACAAAGAAGACTCAGGCAAAGACCCCTAAGAGAAAACCAGCCCACCAGAGTTCCTCCGAGAGGCATGCCTTCCRGCTCTGTCCCCAGTCTCCGCTCTCGTAGTCCTGATGGACAGTGCACCGTGACAGAAGTGTGACGGAACAATAGTGTCTCAGCTACAGAAGACTCTTCTGGAGCTTTTATCAGTTCAGCAAAAATAAAGTTTAGAAACKAATACTCATCTTTTAGGTCTTATGAAAGAAATAATACCTCTGCTGAATTATGGCGCGTGTCCATGCAGAAGCTGTGCCAAATGCTTTTATTTATTCGTCTTACTTATTTGTCCTTCAAAGTAGGTTAATCAAAGATCTTGRTCCATTTGAATGTTGGTCTTGTTTTATAGATGGATCAGTCAGCTCTGTGCACTAAAACTTTACCTTTAAAGACAGTTTGCAGCTTTACTTTTCTTGGTTTCTGCTCTACTGGCAGAAACGACCATCTGCCAGGTTCTGAAGTAAACTCGTTTCCTTCAAAACTGGATAGAAAAATTAAAGCACTGAAGGGACTTTTAACACGTTCTAAAGCCTTTTTTTTAAAAGCTTTTATTTTTTCCGACAAAAACCTTAATCTGGTTCTGCATCTTGTAGCAACAACTCTTCCAAAAAGCAGTGAAGTGCAGCTTTTGAATGATCCATGTAGGTTTAGTTTGAAGCTTCTTTGTGTCTTAATAATTATACAAGTAGGCAGTAAAATGTCCTCTGAGACTAATAATGCAGGATATTTTAATTTGGTTTGATGTGCGACCAATTCACCTACAGCTGGTAGTCCTCCATCTTTAAAGTGCCCACAAGCAGGTCCTCTGAGTGAGGCAGCAGTAAGCATCAGATCCTTGCTCTGCAAGGTAAATTTTGTGGTTTTCTGGTTGATTTATTGAGGATTAATGCTTTTTAAAAGTGCACTGAAAAACCTGCTTTGATTCTCTGACAGCAACGTAAAGTGTTAAAAACAAWAAGATCGAGCCGTTCTTTTATTTGTTCTTCAGTCCAAATGAGCTGAGGCAGCACAACATAACTTCTTTAGAATGAAAAAGTCGTAAAGTTTTTTTATTAATTTGGTTAGTRCTTTTAGAAATTCACATTCCTCTTTGTTTTTATTAAGGTGAAAAAAGCATAAATGTAGCACCTTATATCGAGAAAGTAAAAGTTTTTCTGCTGTAATTTTTTTTTTTAGATGAGGATAATGAGTCCCCTTATCTGTGATATCTGTTTGAACTGGTGTGTGGGTTTGTGTGTACACATTTTACATTAGCTTATAGTTGTGTGTACATTTTTGCATGGTTCAGGGGTTAGGTTTAAGGTAGTCTATGAAAGTCCACACAAAGATAGAAATACAAGTGTGTGTGAGAGAGCACATGGAGGCTGTACTCCCTCAGTTTTTGAGTGAAAGTCTTGTTTTAATCATGAAGCGTTTGTGCCGACWTGAAGAACTCCAGGTGCTGAAAAGCTACTGGCCGATCCACTGGAAAGAGTTGGTTTAWATGAGCAGAGAGACTCATTTGGATTCTTTTTTTGTTTTGTTTTGTTTTTACTAAATCCTCTTAACAACCGCTATCAAAGCAGCATCATTCTTGAATGAGCTCCGGCTATTTTGACACATTCACATTCTTTTTACTTCTGCTGTTTTTTTCACCGTCATCTCGCTTCTTTGTAAAAAAAAAACTTTAAAAATTATTTAAAAAAACATTTGTATGTGTATGTTTTTCTTGTGTCAATCTATTAAAGTTTATCAGTGATTTAAAATATGTTGAATTTTTACTTTTTATTAGAGAGATMTACTACTGATTACATTTTGGAGTCACCCAACAAATYAAGATGGTCTCAAAAAAGATGCTATAACTCAGTTTTGCAGGTATTGAAACTGCTAATAGTACCTGCACAAGGCTTTACCAAAATGGCTACAACTTCTGTCATTTCTCAGTGTAAGATCTGAGTAAAACTGGCATGGAAGGTAGTGGGTGATAAGACACTTCTTCAAAGAATGCTGGGCCTTTATGGAAAAGATGAGGCATGTCCTGACTTGGTAAAGATGCAGTGTATCTCTAGTCCACAGGGTGCAGCTGTTGCATTAACTGAACCACTCATTAGTCTTTACGGAGCTCCAATTTGTCCAGAAAGTCAAATCTCTCGAGACAAAGAAGCAACCCGCAATCTCAAAATGTGGTTTGAATTTATGTTTTTTTATCCACAAAGCAAATAAAGTTTTTATCTTGTTAATCTAAAACATACGCTCTGACTTTGTGCGAAACACTTTCGGTAAATGTTGACAAGAACCTGTCAGCGTGTAAGCAAAAATCCCTCCGATATTTTTCTGTGATAAGTACCTGCCGTGACAGATTCCTCTCATCTGGGTTCCCAAAGTTTTCAACACAAAAGAAGAATGTGATCCATAAAATCCTCGTGTGGTTTTCATGATTAATGCCAGAACTGTTTGAACCGTAAAAACCATGACAAAACTCTCTGTTACTGTTTAATCTGTGTGGAAACTATAAATCCACCACCTCTAAAAGCTGCTGAGCTGCAGCCAAGGAAAGAAAACCCCACAGGCACTCTGTGGAGCCGGAGCGTGACTTGAGTTAAAATTGCAGCTTAGTGGGTCAGGTTTTGGTTGGAATCTTCCCAGTTTGCATCGAACTACGTGTTCTGAATATTCAGTGATCCTGGTGAGCAGATGGTTCTGTTTTGGGGTCAGATGTTTATGCCAGAGGCCTCTAAAAGACGACCATGTCACGTTTCACTAGTTTTTTTTTAAACTTCCCGTCAGGGATTAACTAACAGTTTTTTGCTACTACATTAGATCAAATGTTTGATGTTTCACAAATGGACTGGATTATATATTTATGTTCCGGATAAAGTTTATTATGAAGCACAAATTCCTTTTCATCATGTTAAATGAGACTGTTTTGTAGTTAAAATGTGCATGTGTAAAGTGGCCTAACTCACATCTTTCATTACAAATACTGAGGTTGTTATGGAAAGATAATTGGAATTGAACAAATTTAAATGGTAAATTTATGTTCTTTTTATACAGACCCAATGTATTTGCGCTAAACTGATTCATGTTATTTTCCTCTAAGATCATAGATGAGATTTTTCATAAAAATCCTTTGGCTATTAATCGGCTTTTTGAACTTGTTGAATTTCTTCAATTCCAATGGTGTTTCCATAGAAATCTCAGCATTTGTATCATCCTTCAAAGGACCTGGTCGATGTAAGCTGTGTTCTTTGTCAACCACGAAGACCGGACGTGAGTAGCTGGGAATTTCAGTAGTGCCTTGCTCCACAACGTAGAAAGGAGCTGCAATTTGGTAGTTTTAATTAAGTGGTCTATTAGGTTGTTAATTTTAAATTCACACCTTTTATTTTTCTAGAAACATTTTTAGGCTTAAAGTGCCTGTGACATCAATTTTTTGTAATAAATATGAATGTACTTTTGGAAAAATAGCATCGACAACATACTGTAAAAAAGATTTAACATATCTCATGAACAACTGTTGAGATATTTGCATGTGAAGTAACAGGGAGTGATGTCAAAGGGGAATGTCTGAATCTAAACAGTGTTGCTAAAATGGCTAACAACACAGACTGTAGAGAATAATCTGGTGTTTCTTTAGATTATTTTGATCACTATCACAGTGGGCATTGGTGGAAGCGCCCTGGACTGGTTTAGGTCCTATTTGGCAGACAGAACAACGTCTGTTGGGCTTGGGGCTTGTGAATCCTCTGCTCCATTCTTATATGGGGTTCCACAGGGTTCAGTACTGGGCACTCTGCTTTTCTCCTTGTATGTGCTTCCCCTTGGGTCTATTCTCAGAAAACATAGTGTCACTTTTCATTGTTATGCTGATGACTGCCAGATATACGTCCCTTTGACAAAAAGTGATGCCTGTTCTCTTAAAACCTTGCTGTCATGTCTTGATGTTAAAGCTTGCTTGGCCCTGAACTTCTTGAGTTTTAATGAAAAGAAAACAGAGGTGATCATCTTTGCCCCTAGTAGCTCCTGTGTGTTCTGTTGATTTGGGACCCTTGTCAGCCTATGCGAAGTCTACTGTCACTAATTTGGGTTTTAAGATGGATAGTAATTTTAAGTTGGGAAGCCGAGTTAGTGCTGTAGCGAAGCTGAGCTTTTTCCACCTCAGACAGCTTGCAAAGGTGAAGCTTTTTCTTTCTCACCAGCACTTTGAAACAGTAACCCATGCCTTCATCACCTCTCGGCTGGATTACTGTAATGCACTTTAGGTTGGAGTTAGCCAGTCCTCTGTTGCACGGCTCCAGTTGGTTCAGAATGCTGCTGCTCATTTGCTAACTGGAACACGTAAACGGGAGCACATTACACCTATTCTGGCTTCCCTCTACTGGCTGCCTGTGCATTTTCAAGTTCGTTTTAAGGTTCTTCCCCATCTTACCTCTCCGAGCTTCTCCACCCCATGCCTCTGCGCGGTATCTCCGGTCAGCCGATCAGTTGCACCTTAAAATACTAAGGACAAAGCGAACCCTTAGARGGGATCGAGCATTTTCAGTTGCTGCTCCGAAGCTCTGGAATGAGTTACCCCTACATGTCAGGCAGCCCTCTAAATTGACTGTTTTTAAAACTAATCTTAACACTTAGTTTTATTCCCTGGCTTCTAACACAGTTTGAGACCTTGGTCTGTTTTAGCTGTTTTTTGCTTGTTTTTAGTGTTTGAGTGTTTTTAGTGTTGATTTGTTTTATTGTTTTTGGCCCCTCATATGCAGCACTTTGTGTCAGCGGCCACTGTTTCAAAGCGCTTTATAAATAAAGTTGATTTGATTTGATAGAAAGATGAGAAAGAATTTTAGTTCAAATAATATTGTTTCAATAAACAAAAACCAGGAAGTTTTCTTTCTCAAAGAGTTCCCATTTCATGTCACTTCCTTTTTTAATTTAGCTGAGCCACATTCAAAAGAAATATGCCAAATATGTGACATAACAGGAAAAATCGCGTGTTTTGTGCCAAGTTTCTTAAATACAAATATGTTTTCTTTGACTTTTTGTATTTCATGAATATGCATGTCACAAGCAYTTTAATGTGATAGATTTTCTGACAGTGCATCATTGCTGTCTGCCTTCGGTCTCGGCATGTTGTACAGTATATGATACGAGCGAACAAGCTGGTCAGACAGACAGACAGGAGACCGTGCTACTATGTTACCAGACACACAGCTGTTCTTTAAATATGTGCGCCATATTCTGGTTAAACGCCGACCCAGGCTTCTTCACACTCGAGAAAATTCACACCGTGTCTCCACGTCTACAAATAGTTCCATCACACTCTCATTTTCCGCCACCGTATTTGAGTATTTATTGTTCATGTGTGAATATTATGACCGTTTTTTTCAATTATCCAACTCAAAGTAAGGGCGTTATGCCTACTGCACACCTTTCTTCTAGGCCTCATCTCACAACTGTGCTTGTTGTGTCTACGTAATTTATATAGCATGTCTGCATTTCTACACATAACCTAAAAATTCATTGACAGGGTGTCTCACTGTTGCATGAGCCATGAATGACTTCACTCCTACTGTAACTCTCATCGGCCTAACACCATTAGAGCCTATCGAGTGTCGTGTCTTCCTAATCCTGGTGCTACTGTACCATTTATATCAGTGGAGTGTCACATTATTAGAAGGATGACGCCTAAAATCATAAAGTACAGGATAAGCTTCATGTCTAAATACAGTGGGACGTGATGGAACAGTGTATTTTTAGTTCCTCTCCTATACTATTCGGTGAAGACCATGATAGGTCTCATTACATTTAGGTCAAAGGATGTCTCAAACACAACCCGAAAGCCAAAAAGGTTTTGTGTAAAATATGTTTGATGCRGTATGTTAGACATTTCTGTCAGTCTGGTGAGAAATCTCGACCTGAGAAAGATCCGGATGGGAGCACGTGTTGTTTTAAAAGCTATATATGCATTTCTGCAATATTGGCCCATTTCCAAATGTGTAAGCCACCCATGTTAAAGACACTAATGCACCCCCATACCATCAGAGAGGCAGGCTTTTGTGTGGAGCACAGCTTTTCATTTTACTTCAGTCTATTTTAGATTAGCTTTGGCCCAGAAAGGATGGCATCATTTCTTGATGGTTTCTAAATTGCATGATAGAGCTTTAACCAACATTTATGGGTAAATCAACCAGCTATGTTTACAGAAAATGATTTTTTTGGAAATGTACCTGAGCCCATGCAGTAATGTCCACAATGAAACCAGACCCATTTTTAATGTAGACTTTTTTTCCAGACTTATGAACCTTTGCCCATCTTTATATTTGAGAGATTCAGCCTCTTTAAAATGCTGTTTTTATTAACAGTCCTCTTGCTGACCTGTTGCCAATAGCCCTAAATTATTACAAAATGCTTGCTAGATCTTGTATTATTTACCTTTTTTATTTTAGAGTGGATATGAACTGTGATTGAATCATAAATTATCTCTTCAGTAGGCATTAACTAAGTGCTGACTTTAGAAGAAAAGAGGAACGTCACCTACAGAGATTAACTGAGATGTACTCGACATGATTAATTTAATTAACTTTTAAAAGGTTTCTTGCATTTATTGAGTATCGTTCACTACTTTAATGAAGTGAAACAGAACTAAGTTTAAAGGTGTGAAGATAAATATGTATATAAAATATACATATATATTTTATACATATACTGTACATATATATTGACAACAACAAGATTAGCAGAAGCTGCAGGACGATGTTTCTCTCAGCCGCTGTGTCAGGTCTTTAAAGTCAAATAATAACTGATCCGTGCTACTTTATGCATATCTCTCCAATGATAACTTAACTTTTTAAAGCGTAATAAAAGTATTTCTCCAACACAGAGTAATTCTGTTATGACAATGTGATAAAACATGGAGTGATAAAGAATCTGACAATATTTCCCCAAATAAATTCCTTCCATCTAAGAGAGGTAATTTCATTTTCTGCTGGGAAGCACAAATAGTTTGTCATTTGTCATCTGCAGAGTTATTATATCTGTTCTTATTTTCCCACTTGTTTTATACATTTTGTTAAATGAGTTTTAAACAGTTGGGCCATTAGTCTCCCACTAACCTCAGATTTATATGTTTTTTCTAAATAACTGGGTCAAGGGTTTGCTGGACACCAGTCTTTTTTATAACAACAAATCCCTAATCAGTTATCTTATATGGTAGAAAATCTTAATTAAATGCACACCTGGCTTGAATTTGGGTATTGGCCAGTTTGTTATTTTACCTATGTGTTTTTATATTTACGTGTCTACACAGTTTTGCAAGTAGGTTGAGTTACACCACCATGGAACAGAGATGTAACGTTTTATTAGACAGGGTAGGCCACATCCTCCTCGTTCCTTTAGGAGCTGCATTATATACGAGGTCTTTTTTCCTGGTCATATAAATCTTAAAATTATGGGGTTTTCAGTCTGAGAAAACCTCAGGTTGTGGGGGAGTTTGGAAAATATATAAAAATCTTGACAAATCACTTATCTTAAATGATTCAGTTCTTTTGCTAAAACTTAGAAACAGTGTGAGGTTCAAATTTGWTCAATCATTTTCAATTCACTCTTGAAGTGGAGTGTAGTTTTCGACTTGTTTCTTAAAAACGTGAGTTTCCGATACTGTCAACCTGCTGTAGGTGCTTTTTTCTTCTTTTGAGTTCCATGTACTTTCCTCAAATTTTAACACAACATATTTAGTAACTTGTTGCCCAATATGCTGTCATGGGTGGGTACTTTGAAAGACAGACCACTTTAAAAGAGCACAAATACATATTAGAATCAAAACAAAAAATAAATAAATCAAAGGCTGTTTAAAACTTTTGCACAATGTACTGCATTTCAGATAAAAATAAACTTACGTTATTGATCCATTTTCAAAAAGATTTAAGTCTTTATGATGTTTTGGATGTGTGCATTGGTGAACAAGTAGATCTTAGCAGCATAGTGGCATAGTGTTTAAAGAGTAGTGTGTGTGTGTTTGTGTATGTGTGTTATTTGAGGAAAACAAGGTCACATGAATGGGCCAAAGGCCAGCCAAGAACCATGTAGTTGCTCCCAGCTGACCACTCAACCAAAGCCAAATTAAAATTTGTCATTTGTCGCAAGATAAATGGACCATTATAGACATGTCTGCCGAGCAACACCAGCTAATCCCACGATAGCACGCTGCTCTTGTTTTGAAACACGACCCGCGAGGCTCGCCTTTCAAAGTGGGGATATTTAGGCCCCAATCTATTTTAATAAGGAGCTCTGGAATCCTCCAGAGTCCCAGGCTCCGCCGTGCTGTCCTTAATGATTCCACCTCTTGCAGCTCAATAGTCATCATGAGGCATTTGAGACAGCCCGTCCAGTGGACGGATGCAAACGCATTGACAGCTTGGACAGGTGGACGAAGATAGAGAGAGCCACGAGACATTTTGTACCTTATAGAATAAGTGGGTGAAATGCTGAAGTGAAGAGTGGTGAGATTTAAATGTGCATCTGCAGGCTGAAAGGGCTGACCTGTAATTTCATTATTTAAGCTGACAACTTTCCCAGGATGAACATTGTAGAACTTATACATGCAGGGGGGCACGGGATCTATCCTCATGTGCACATTCCAGATATATTCCATTAGAACGTGAAAGTCAATCCAAAATGCAGTTTATTTAAATCATGCAAACAAAACTTAACAAGAGAAAACATTATGTCATGCAGAAAGAGAAAGAGACTTGTAAAAAGAGCCTGTAAAACAGCTCAGTTTCAGGTCACCTGGTCTCAACAGGGTGGTCCTGTCAGTCCAGATTCATGTTTTTGAGACACAAACACAGATATACACACATACATACAAGAGGCACCTAACCATCTATTCTGAGTCTGTTACTGTAGCAACTGAGGGTTTTAGCACCTAGCTCTGGTGATTGACGCTTAATGATGCTGGACGTGGCTGAGGACACAACCATGTTTAAATCGAGAGATTTAGGATGTGAGCAAGAAAAGGGGGGAAAAAGAAACCTGAGGCTCCACAAACACGTTAAATCACCATACGCCCACATTCTGAGAGACATGCAGGGTTCCAAAGTAAACATGCCTAAATCTACACTTACAGCTCATTAAAAACACAGTATTTCTCATGAAAATGGATTTGGTTAAAACTGATTTAGTGCATTGGCTAGAAACAATGTTTTCGTGTCTTTTTCTCTAATTCCCCAAACTGATGTAGTTCTTGTCAGGATCTGTGTCTTTTGCTTGTGTTTTGGCACTCCTTTGTGTTTACTGTTAGTTTTATCACCTTTCATTGTGTTTTGTGATTCCTGAGTTCAGTTTTGTTACGCGTGTCTTTGTTTTGTCCTTTTAGTTTTTTCCAGTCAGTCTGCCATACCTCTCTATACCTGCTCATTCTTTCACCTGCCACAGCTGCAGACACTTCTCCTCATTAGCTCTGGCCTATTAGGTTTGTCTGACTATGCTCGGTTTTCAGTTGGGCATTATTGGGTCAGTATTTTCATGTGCCTTTTCGTTCCTACTTGCACAAGTTTTTGGTAAGTTTTGCAGCTATGTACAGTTTGTTTTTTGTTTTGTTCAATAAGATTTAAGTTACCTCTTTGAGCTCCTTACGGCAATCTGCATTTCTGGGTCCAAACCTCCTGCTAATCGTGATCGTTCCATTGTTTTCTACAGGTAGTATGTTCAAAACAACTCCCCAGGAAGCTACTTCAAAAAAAGCGAAACTGTCTCTTTAAATTATGATTGCTAACCAATGTTCTATCAATCAGGAAGCAGCAACGTATCGTCACTTTTTGTACAGCCTTTCAAAATAAATGACCAAAACCCCACAAAACTACTATATAAGGAGCATATCCGCTTATTGCTTGCTTAGCTGAAGTGTTGGTTACTTTGACAACAAGTGTTGCAATACCAGTTAGTTTGATGACATGTCAGAATCACCAGTGAAAGTCTATTAATAACATTACTCAGTGTCTCCTATCGCACAGCCTCTGTGCTTATAATGCTAATATTACCTACCAATCAAACAGGTTCCAATCTGATTTCAAATTATTTTTATCCTTAGAGAGGTGAGATTAAATTTTAAAGCCTGAGCATCACTTCCATTGGTTCAAATCTGACAAACACTCATTCAAAACAACAAATCACAGCATTTATTCTAATCAGACCCAAAATCATAAAAAGACACTAAAGAAATGTATCTACTGGTAGACATTTTAGACAGCAAGTTTCGTAACTAAATCCTGAAGTTTAAGAGGCCTGTATTGTTTTGATGAAAACGTGGCTGTGTTACCATGTCCTGCTGACGTCAATGAAGCCATGGCTACAGTTCAGCTGTCTGTTCTTGTTGTGCCCCCCCACCGTCCCCCCGCCCCACTCTTATGAATAGCCTGTCCAGTAGAGGACATGCCGTGCCAAGCTCTGCCATGCTGTGTCAGTCTGATCGCAAACGGTTTTGAGCCAAGGAAGCAGTGGAGAAAGGATTAAAAGAGGACGAGGAAGGCAAATGCGAACAAACGTGCACCTTTTGCGCAGCATTTGTGCAGCTATCCGTTTTCACAGTTAGTTTATACAGGCGGGGGGAGGGAGGGGGTCAGTTCAAAGGGCGCCAACAGGGACAGGAGTGATCGCTAACGAGACACCTCGTTAAAATACCACAGCTCGTGGAGGTGCCAAACTGCAAGAAAGGGTTATCAAATGCACACGCTAAAACTAGAAATGGCGATCGAAAGAAAAGCTCAGGAATCAAGACACATAACTGGCAAAGAGAAGATATTTAAATTCCACTAGAAGGAATACAAAACATTGATATGAAAAAGAAAATGCCACAGTAAGGGGGAAAAGTGCATTCTTTGACTTACAAAAATCTTCAGTTTGTTCATTTATAAATAAAATCTAACATTAGGGTGTGTTTAATAACAGGCAAGAGAAAAGAAAAATGGGTAGGGAGACAGAGAGGGGACCCAGAAACTCCCCCTGTCCTCTCTTTATTTATACCCTGAAGACAGCAGGCTAAGATTTCTGGCACCAAAACACACGTCACGCTTACTATTTTGGTCTTAGGTGCCACATAGCACCAGGAGGTTGGATGACCGGGCTGAGGCATCGTGGGGCCAAGGGACTTCCGCACTTTAGTTCACCGGGATTTACGTGACTTTTCACACTATAACTACCTCTGCCTGGTTATGAAAATGAAGCTTGGGTGTTTTATTTTTAGTAATTCTACTTGTATAAAATGACGTTCTTTAGGTGTGTGTATTGGTGAGTGTGTAGAACAGCGATCCCTCACACTGAACAGAGCCTACAGGTGTCAAGGAGGTCAGGTTGTTGATGTAGTCTTAAGAGGCGTGAAAGACAGAACATGAAATGCGATCTCTGTCCGTGCAACACGCTGGATATCATGTTGATGGATACCATAACTGCTTTTGAATGGAGACTCTTCCAAGTGTGATACCTTACCATAGGTGATTAACAAAACACCTATAAAGTCGTCGTAATGCCGATTTTTACAATGTGGCTATTAAACAATCAGCTTATTTTGGGTTGAGGTTGGTGCTGGATCATCATAAGAGCTTCTACTGATGATGCAGGGATATTCTGGTATTAGATATCGACAGGCTGCACATGCAATAAATCAACGACGCAAAATAAATGGAACAAGATGGCAATGCTGCAAAGCACAAAGTCAAGTCTTTGTATGGAGCAGTCATTTATTACCAAGAAAATACATCAAAGGCATAATAAAATCTTTTGTCACAATTATTTTTTGAACAGCTTTAACACGTTGTGATACAGTCAAACACACTTATTGACAGGTTGCCACGACAAGTGCAATATCAACTTTGTCTCCCATTGGTTTGACATGGCAACCGTGAAGACTGAACACACAAACCCTAAATGTAGAGTTGCATGCTAAGTCACATTGCGCAGAAAAAAATACACTTAAATTCATTACAAAAGATAAAGAATAATATGGATAAGTGGGGGAGGGGAAGCAACAGAGCAATATGTCGATGTGTTTGCAAAGTTTTGACACAGAGGAGATTTCAAGCTACAGCAACACCGGAGAATGTTGTGGATGAACACGTCATTGTAAGGAAATCTATTCGCGCAGCGCTCTTAAAGCAGCCCATCGAACAGAAACGTTACTATTTACAGTTTCAAAAGAAAGACAAAAAGTTATCACATAATGACCGTTTCTGTCTGAAGAGAATAGGAAACGAGAGGCCGGTGCTTCAGAGCAGGACTCGGGGAGCGAGTCACGGGGCTCGGTGGATGACAGATTGGGCCAGACGGTGCGGTGATTCGGGCAGTAGGGGTGCGACTGGCCCATCTGGAAGGTGGCCGCTGGTTGGCAGGGCGTGCAGGACGAGAGAAACTCTTCTTTAGCTTGGCTGAGGACATCTCGGCTGGGTTTGTCTAGATAATAAGAATATACAAAATATCAGTGCTGATCAGAGACTGAGGCAGTTGAAGCTAAATAAAGAAGCAGAACACAACCTACCTGATGTGTCTCTTGTTTATAGGCTGTAAATCCTGTTCGGGGACTAGAGCTGTACTCATGTTGGATCTCCAGCATGTCCAACAGCTCGATAAGTCCTTCATCCCTCAATCTGCTGCAGCTTGCCAACTCCTGTCCTCTTTGAGTCCTCTGAGCTCCGGGAGAACCATCGGAGGCCCTGCAGTCCACTTTGGGCTCCACCTGCTGGAGTGAGGACTTTCTTGTTTTCTCCCCACTGTTAACCCTGGGACTGATCTTTGGACTCCTTAGCACCTGCGGTCTCCTCTGGCCCTGCTGAGGAGCAGACTGTGAGCCTTTGGAACCGCTATAGCTTCCTCTCTCCTCTTTGTAGCCGTGCCTACAGTCTAATCCCGAGCCCCATTCTTGGCCAGGCTCAATCTCTGCTGTCAGCACATCAGAATCTGCTTGGCATTTCTGGTTAGGCACACGCATGTGCGCCTTGCTGGCTCCTCCAATGACTCCCAAAGCCCGGCGCTGACAGCCGGGAGTGGAACACTTTGCTTCTGGTCCCTGATGGGTCACCACCCCTGATTCAGTGAGCAATTTCCCCTCGTTCTCCTGAAGCATGGCTCCGAACTTCTTCAGAACAGAAGGACTGTGACACTTCCTGTCTCCAAGGACTCCTTGACCGAAGGATTTTCTGTCCAAAGCGGGAGACTCGGCTGTCGTAGCTGGGAACTGTAAGCGTGCTTGTACAGCAGAGGTATCCCTCTGTCCAACAGGGGGCTTGGCAACTGTGTTGTCCTTGATGGGGGAACTCTCTCTGCAGCTCTTCATGTGAGACACTCGGTTCTTCCTGTTCTCACTTTCTTCAAAACTTCCTGCATATGGCTCTTGTTGAAGCCTGGATTAACACAGAGAATAGATCAAAACGTGTCACCCCTACACTTATGTCTTGGCTTTTAAGTCAATGTCACATAGAGTAGTGGTCAAAAATATTCCACTGTGAAATGGGACACCCCTTCATGGTGCCGATCAGTTGTCACTCAGTAAATTRCCATCATTGTGCTCGTTAACGTAAAAGAAATCTGCAACAATGATGGTGTATTGGCATTTTGAAGTATATTATAACTACTACCACTTAAAGCTTTGAATCCAGGACTAAGGATTTGGTGCTAAATGTGCACGAATTGTTGAGAAACTTCTTACCGATTATTTCCTGGTCTACTTCCACCTTTATCCTGGTATGCAGAAATGTCTTGGTTCACCTTCACTACGTCACTGAAGTGCTGAAAGAGATTAAAAAATATGTTTTAGAATTTGTTCTGCTCAAATAAAATCTGACCTACTCATAACAGCAAAGATCCTCCCTCCCTGAGAATGTGTCACCTTTCTTCTCAACTGCTCTTTTGGGTGTCAAGAAAGTGCAAGAGTTGGGTTAGAGAGTGAAACGAACTCCTATCTGGTAACCTCTCTGTGTAAGCAGACTTCAGGGAACTGTAATCAATACATTCCTGCCAGAACCACAGCTTCCACACATGCCATGTCAGCCTATCTTGTTTCTTCTTATGTGCAAACACCAAAAGAACGAAGCACAAGGAAGGGGCGGGGGGAACGGACATACAACTCTACTCACCACGTGACGAGCGCCGTTGTTCTTCCGGCTCATTTTTTTGCCCTTCACCAAATAATCCTGCAGTAAGTCTCCAATCTCTGAGACTCCGCTGGTGTGGCAGTAGCCATAGCCATGTTGATGACTCATGGGGTGGCTGCACCCGTTGGGGCCATAGGGATGTAGATTGGTACTGTGGTGGCCGAGCCCAAAGAGACCATCGCCATGGTGCCTTAGTCCAGACTCCAATGGAACACAATGTTTCTGGTCATCCCCAGGAAGATCATTTGCTCCTCTGCGTGCCTGAACTTCAGTGTACAGCTTGAAAACAAAAAGAAATAAAACAAAAACTTCAGATCTCTATAGCCAACAAGTTACTATATGTTTACTATTAGAATGACCTGTATTTATGATCAACACGTGTTATTCCACTTTGCACAGGCATCCATTTACCATCTCAACCTCCAATACCTCCTGTAGTATCCACTTTCAGGCCATGTACGTGTGTGTGTGTGTGTGAGCCACAGGGAAACTGTGTGTGTCCAGCGTGTCTGTCAGCACATCACGGTTTAATTAGCTTGTTAACATTTTGTCTGTGCCGTTGCTCCAACAAGGCCAAGAGGTTGAGTCAGCCAGTGCCCTGCCAACAGTTTATTATGGAGCATGCACACATGTACACACATACCCACATTTTACACCGATTACCACTCACCAGGGAGCACAAAAGCTCCTAACTTGAGACAAGCACACATGTGAGATGCACAATTCAGGATCATTGTTGAACCTAGTGTTGCAGTTAAGACCACCTAACCCGAGACCAAGTCAAGATCGAGTCCAAAGACTGAGACAAGACCAAGACGTTTAGGGGCTGAACTAAGTCTAGACCAAGACTGAAGGAGAGTGAGACCGAGTCAAGACCAGGACCAAAAATAAAAATGGAAACTAGTGCCACAAAATGTACGGTATACTGTGCAMAGGTAACTAACTTAATATGTATACGGTAGATAACATTACATGAGTCTCTTTGTGTGAGGGTCAGGCAAAGGTTTTTGTTACAGAGGCAGATTGCTAATGTTTGCTAGCTAGCCTGCTAACGTCACTTACACACAGCTTACCTTTCTTTGTACTTCTTTACTAGAGACAATAAAAGTTTGACGTCATCCCCACTGTCTTTGAAAGTGAAACTCTGCAGAATTTACAAGTCGTTGTATGCTTTCTACTGGACGCTGTTGTACAAAGATATTCTTTATGATGCATGTAGCCTAATTGTATTACTGAATATTTTGCAAACATCTTCTCCCACTGCTCGTTGAAATCAAGGATGTTAACAAATAAATCGAACAATATTTTGGCAATTTAGTGATGTTTCCACAGCTGTGGTCTTGAATGTTCTTGAAATAAAATCCTAAGTCCTCAATGTCCGAGATCGAGACAAGACTGAGCACAAATGTGATCAAGTCCAAGACCAAGACTATCAAAAAGTGGTCTTAAGACCAAGACCAGTCTTGAGTACTACAACACTAGTTGAACCACATTAAATTCTGTATGGCTAATTTTGTGATAGGCTGATTTAAAACAAAAAGCTATTTCGGTCTACATTCAACATGTCAATATGTGCAAAATTTATCCTTCCATGTCTATAAGACCTGACTTGTTCCAGCATTTCTCTACTAAATCCTACCTCTTCAATTTTCCTCTGGATATCCTGCAGCTGATCCTCCCACTCCTGCATCTCCGAGTCAAAGTTGTCCATCGTTTCTGGCCTCTCCTGCCCCCATCCCCGGTTGCCGCGCTCCAACCTGAGCTCCAGATCAATCGCTGCCATGACGCAAGCCGTTTGATCCCCGGAGGCYCTTTCAGATAAAAGTTTCCCCGCCTCTTTCTCCTGTTTCACTCTCCTATTAGAGGTCGCTGTCAGGTTGCCAGCGAGGGACAGATGGATCGATGGCCTGGAAACACAAAAAAAGACAGGCGTGTTAATGGTGTACACGTTACATAAGTTAAAAAAATCACTTTTATTTACCAAGTTTACAACATGTCCAGATCTGTGATTGATGACCTAAATATTTGACCTTGAAACTGAGAGAAGCAATTTTTAAAATTCCTAATAAATCTGTTTCTCTTCTCCTCTGTCAACTCTTTGAAACCATTCCATGTTATGCTTTCTGCTCTTACGTAAGTCAGATATTTACAGCCCTCTGCGTTGCCTTCTTTAAAATTCATAAACAACCCCCAGTATCCATGCAGTATTGCAAACACTGAGACTCTTGGCCCTATTGTCTTATAGCTGGCCTGAAAATCTTTACCTAAAACAACAACAAAACAGAACAATCAAACAAACATACCTCCACTGACACACAATTTAACAATTAATAATCAAAATAATATTAATGCTTCTGTTTTATGGTTAATTTTCAGTCCCGGCTCTTCATCTGTCCCACTCAGGACCAATCGTCCTCTTGAAATTTCTGCTGCGTCACATCTCTGCTGCCCACCYGATCCTTTACACAGCTGAGGAAGCCACTAAAAACAAAACAGCGACGTTGCTAATTATGAAGTAAATAAAAACAGCAAAGCTTTTTGTTGTTGTTATTAGAGGAAAGTGCCTGAATGTGCCATCAGCCACCTCCCCCTCATGTAATGCAAGAGTGAAGATATTAATAATCTTGTAACTATGCCTGCTTGGTAAAAGTGACTGGACTGGAGCAGAGGGATACGTGTCAGGAACACAAAATACTTGCATGCAATTTATGAAAAGTTAGTTAACGTTACAGCAGAGACTGATAACTTAAGGTTATATACACCGGAGATTACAGATTGTCTCCAAATGGCAGGAAAATAACCGTTATTTACAACAGCAGTTCTTACCTGAACCCCTGCTCTCCGGTAATTATCCTGTACCCACTCTGATCTCCACACAGTTTGCTCTGTTCTCTGACACTTCCACTTGTCAAAATCCTCTCTCCGTGGTGCGTCCCTTTGCTTTTCCTCCCCTCTGCTCTGTTACGTAAATTAGCGCCGACTCGATTTAAAAAGGGTCCCTCCCTCCCTTCCTTCTGTCCTGGGGAGTTAGGAGCGGTGGAGCTGTGATCGGTAAAGGGTAAACATCTTCTGTTCCAGCCGGGCTCCCCCTGGCTTTATACCCCACACACCCCCACCCCGCTCCTGAAAGCGCGCTCCCCTGCTGAGTCGGGATCAAATATCATAATGTCAAATGTATTCCAGCATTTGAAGTCTCGATGGGACGACTGTCGTCACCAGCATCCCAGCTATAATTACCTGGGGAGGGGGCGTGCACGGAGAGAGGGAAAGTGTTTACATAGCTGTTTCAGCTGCTGCCTTCCTCTCCGGCCAATCGGCTTCTCTGTTGCTACTCTGCTTTTAGGATGCTTGGGCAGACTTTGCCTCGTGACCAATGCCGCGCTGCAAATCATTTTTTCCAACGGGTGCCAAATGGGCGTAGGTGACACAGTGAGTAATAATGTGTCACGGTCAATAATATCTTTATTGAAGACAGTCACGAAGAGGAGACTGTCAGGTGGACGCCTGGAGTGCTTGGTATATTTTTAAGACATACTTGAAATTCCTTGAAGCTTCAATAGGCTTGACTGTTTTTGTTGCATTTATTGGAAAATAAAAAGCAACTTAAAATCAACCCCAGATCAGAATTTAGAAATTGTGCAAAGAAGCGAATTGGCCATTTGAACCATGGGGGTCTGCACTGCCTCTTGAGGGCCGTTTATCCGTCTCACAATCAAACACGTCAGTCAGCTCACACTAGATGGCCCTGTGGGGATTTTTAGGGGCCACCCCAACAACAAGAGCCAACACCTGGCATAAGATGATTGGAATTCCTTCCAGTCCATAATGATGGTCCGAGTCCCTTGGGTCACCATTCCTCCACCTGTTGTGCTCCTTACTTAATGGCAAACCACCCCCGCGAGTTTAGTGGAAGGACACAAACAAACACTGTCCTTATTTTACCTTCAGGGGAAAGCAGCAGCAGGTCGGTACGGCAAAGGGTTGCTCTGGAAAACAAAGAGAAAGATACGTTTAAAACGTGCCACTGGTGAAAATATTTATAGAAACAAGGTTATTAATTGTGGCTTTGTGCCAGACTTGCCTTTAAAGTAGATCTTTTGAAGTGGGTTTCTGTGAAAAGGTATGAATAATTAGTGTCTTACCTGTAGTARATAGCTATTTCAATGACATCAGTTTTGAGAAATAGATTATGTTCACAATGTAGGCAAAAATGGCCCATATCTGTCGCAATTCAATCGTCTTTTATATCACTGAAGCAGCAGCGTACGGATCAGTCTAAATATTGAAACAATCAGTAACTCTTTCAGTTAGACATTTTTCCTCTCTACTATCCAAACGTCACTCATATCCCCGACATCTGACTCCAGAACAAACGGCAGGTAAAGTCTTACATAAGGTTGGAAGTTAAACAAGATTAAGCAATTTGAGTGCATTAAATATACATATAAAGACCACCAGTTTTTATAATTGGCTGCTGGCTCAAGTTTTACATTAGGCTTTCAGACCGAAGACTCGTTTCCATCCGGATGTCAGAACTGTCAGCAAGAGAGGTGAAAAACTCTGAGCGCTGCACAAAAACTAACTTTTATAATCAAAAATGTGGGTTTAAAAAGACAGAAATCATAAAATCATGCAGCATTGTTTGATTGAATGTAATGAAACAAAGGTGAAAACTGGGATCTGTTCCATAATATTGATATTAAATTGCATTATCTCCTTTTCTAAAGTCATTATTTACATTTATTTTTTTTTATTTCAACTTATTTCATTTTAAAGCACAGTAACACTCTGTGACTCACCTGCAGAGGTGGGTTTTAATGACGCAGGCTCCAGGTGTTTAAAGCCAATTTGTTAGCAGCATTGGCAGGTGCCGAGCTTTGTCTGTGCTTTTGGTTACAAGGTTACAATGACATCAAATCATGAGGGGTTGGACATAAAAAAATCAACAGCGCAAAAAAAAAAAACAACCCAAAACAAAAATGAAACAAACAAGGAATGATGTAAACTAAAGGAGGCTGACGTCACAGAACAAAGAAGAGGGTAAACAGGAAAACCAGTTTAAAGATGGTGGCGTAGGAGAGAGACGAGAATAAGACGAGGATGAGGATGAGCAAAATGATTGGCTGAAACATCTGAGCGATAAAACGTAACAGGAGAAACAAGCAAGAGAAGGAAGAGGGAAAAATCAGCGTTAACTCTGTGATCATTTACACGCCACCATAGAACTTAATATTTCAGGTCTTCTCACCGAAAGCGGCTCCTCGGCCTCCCTGTCCTCGAGCCTCGGCACCTCCAGCCTGTCGATGAACGCTTGCAGTTCTTTTCGGAAGGCCTTCATCTGCGCGTTGATGCGGTACAACAGTTCGTGCTCCCTGATCCTGCTCCCGTCATCCTCCCCGCCTTCCTCCCCTCCCCTCCCGAACATCAAGTCCCCGTTCGAAACGTAGACCCTCGCCTCCGAGATGATGGTGGCCGTGTCGGCGATGAGCCTGTCGATGGTGCGAACGAGCCTCTCCGCCTCCACTCGGATGTCTACCATCTGTTGCCGCTCGCGCAGGCTGCAGCGGCCGCCGGGCAGAAAGCGGGCCAAGGCGGAGGGGGTGGAGCCCTCCAGCCCTGTCGGGGTGTAGAGGCCCCGGGTGGGCGTCATGCACCGGCTGCTGCCGTTAGTGTTCCTGACCTCGTCCGAGTCGCTTTCTCCGCCGACGGGGCCCTCGCGCTTGCGGTGCGGCGGGAGCAGGCGGGAGGAGGTGGAGTCTTCGTCGCTCTCACGGCGGCCGCTCGCGCCGCCACCGGCGTCGCTCTCGGCGTCGCTGTCCCGTGGGCTGGGCCGCAGGGAGAGATGGGAGGCCAGGTCGTAGCGTTGCATGTTGGAGAGGAGCACGCGGTTCTCGTACTGTAGTTGCATGACCTGGTCAAAAACAACCGAGGTGGTAGAAAGGCAGGAAAAATAATTAGGGTTAAAGGAACACATCTTAATGTCGTACATACAAGAATTTCTTAGTTATGTTGCTATAGACTGCTGTAGGGTCACATTCAAACACAACAACCCCTTTRGATGTTTACCTAATCAATCTTCACAAAAACTCTGTAGTTCTTTCCAAAATGGGGTCAAATCCATGAAATTTATGAACAATCCATACAAGTAGGCACGAATGCACATGTTAACATATTCTCACTCCCGACTCGTCACATATTGATGCTTTTCCAAGGTTCCCTCTGTGTCTTATTTTGACACGTCGGGTACACTCGTCGCGTCACTTATTAACGCACCAGGCATTTCCGTGTTCCCTCGGCGTCCAGGTTTGATGCGTCGGGACGTAAAATATAGGGGTCTTTGAGTTGGGGTCCGTGGTTAATATTAGGGATCAGGGTTCATGGTTAATTTTAGGTAGTGGGGTCAGGGATATGATGTCTAAGGCGAATATTAGGTAATTTTAGGGTTTGGGACACGTAGTTGATGTGAATTTCCTACACTTTCTAAAAATGGTTAATTTTAGGGATCAGGGTTGATAGTTAATTTTAGGTACTAGGGTCAGGGACAGGATGTCTAGAGTGAATAAATGTAATTTTAGGCTTTGGGATGGTTAGTTTTTGTGCATTTTCTACACTTTATGAAATTATGACTATGCATTCCRCCCCATCTCATCAATAACTGACGTGAGGGGGTACCCGACGCGTCAAAATCGGATGCAGAGGGAACCTTGGAAAAGCGTCAATATGTGACGACTTGGTAGTGAGAATGGGTTGCTCATTTTAGTTATTTGTGTTTCTTTCCTGTCCTCTAACACTCAGCCAATCAAGGCAGATGGCCGCCCGTCCTGAGTCTGGTTCTGCTGGAGGTTTCTTCCTGWTAAAAGCGAGTTTTTCCTTTCCACTGTCGCCAATATGGTGCTCAGGATGGGAGATCGTGACGAAGCGATGTTTCAAAGCCATCTGCTGGCKTCCTTAGATTGTTTTGTTTGTACAGTGCCCTGAGACGACATTTCTTGTGACTTGGTGCAGAATAAATGAATTCAGTTTAATTGAATCATAAAGTAAGAAGCAAATTTCAGGCAATCTAATTCTCATATCAACGGTTCATCATCATTTGAAGTCGAGTATGACTGTCCTCTCTCTTGGTCCTTGGGGGTCTTGTGTGTGAAAAGCATATGTTGCTGCAGTGTGGACATGGGTGAGTGGTGGTGGGTTGATGTTGGGCCTTTTTGGTGGCGGCTTTATCATTCCAGAGTCTTCGATTGCTGTTATACAGTGCAGTGCCTTCAAAGACCAGTCTTCTCCAAGCCTCTCTGTTGGTTGCTGTTTCCTCCATATATATA